AGGCACTGCCCAATGCCTAGCTAATTTTATATATATTTTTAGAGATAGAGTCTCACTATGTTGCTTGGCCTGGTCTTGAAATCCTGGCCTTAAGCAATCCTCTTACCTCAGCCTCCCAAAGTGCTAGGATTACAGGTATGAGCCATCACCATCCCATCTGGCCCTCTTTTCTAATATTTTCTTTTTGAGACAAGAGTCTCGAGCTGTCACCCTAAGTAGAGTGCCACAGTGTCACAGCTCACAGCAACATTCAACTCTTGGGCACAAGCAATCCTCTTGCCTCAGTTTTTTCTACTTTTAGTAGAGACGGGGTTTCGCTCTTGTTTAGGCTGCTCTTGAACTCGTGAGCTCAAGCAACCCACCTGCCTCAGCCTCCCAGAGTGCTAGGATTACAGGCTTGAGCCCTAATATTTTCTAATACTCAGCACTCATCAACACCTTTTTCAAATTCAACTTACTAAAGGTAAAAAGATTCTAGAGATGGCCCAGGGATGAGCTAAAGGTTTAGGAAATTAGACCTAAATAGGAAAGGCCTGAGTGCCCCATTAAGGAGGGGGCCATCAGCAGTTTTTACCCCTGTGGTGAGTGTGATCAATTGTGCAGCTGCAGGAGGATCATGCTGATGGCAATGGGCAAGACAAATGCACTGGGGCCAGGGTTGGAGGCAAGCAGATAATCCAAATACACAATCTCTTCTTTACAAATAGTGTTGTCATCATTTTTGTTGTTGTTGTTGCAGTTTGGCAAGGGCCAAACTGGCACCCTCAGTATATGGGGCCGGCACCCTACTCACTGAGCCACAGGCGCCACACATGTTGTCATCATTTTAAATAACATTCTCTTTCTCCTTTTAATCCAAATGATAACTTTTTTCTTTCCTTTTTTTTTTTTTTGAGACAGTCTCACTTTGTTGCCCTCGGTTGAGTGCGGTGATATCATAGCTCATGGCAACCTCAAACTCTTGGGCTTAAGTGATCTTGCCTCAGCTTCTCAAGTAGCTGGGATGACAGGTGCCTGCCACGACGCCTGGCTATTTTTTAGAGACAGGGTTTCACTCTTGCTCAGGTTGGTCTTGAACTCCTGAGCTCAGGCAATCTACCTGTCTCAGCCTCCCAGAGTCCTAGGATCCTCCCAGAGACCTACAGGCCTGAGCCACAATGTCTAGCCAATAACTACTTTCATAAGGAGACTCCAACTGAAAAATGACTGAGTCCCACAGAAAAGTTCCCAGCCTGTTCATTGCCATGCTCAGTAGCTTAAAAAAAAAAAAAAACCCAGAAGATTTAAAGTAAAAAATGAGAACATATGACTAATAAACATACAGAAAAATGTCCATTTCCTCCAAGAATCAATGAGCTTCTGGCCAAGATGGAGTAACAAGAACCAGATTTACTCTGCCACCTTTAATTATTAAAAATTCCAGATAAAATACATGAACAATAATTTTCAGACATCAGGCAGCTCAGGGCAGTGATCCCTAAGAGAGGGAAACCAATGAGGTAACCCTCACAATCACTGCAGCTTACTGCCCAGAGAGAGTTTTCAGGCCACAGTGCAGGCAGACAGAATCCAGGTGGGCCCAGCAGATATCCTGAGTTAAGGAGACAGGTTGGAAGTTCAGAGAACATACAGTGACTACAGTCTTCAAGGGTGAATATGGGAGAGAAGACAGCTGCACAGAAAGCAACTCTGAGAAATCTGCAGAGTTCTCTGTGAACCAATGTGAGGAAGTTGGGAAAATAACTACTGAAGAAGAAAAGGTGAGAATAATGCCCAGAACTCACACAGGGCTAGGTGTAGCTCATGTTTCCACCAGCCAGGGTAAGACAGAAACCTTCATTAACACACAGAGAACAGAGAGGCAGTCACAGAGCATTCAGTAATGGGGCAAAAGGAGCTGACCTGAAAAGCAAGCCTTGGAAGGATCAAAACTGATTCCAAGTAACTTCTTTGCACCCCAGAACAAAGGTCAAGAATATTTTTTTATTTTATTTTACTTATTTATTTATTTGAGACAAGAGTTTCACTAC